ACCAACAAATATAAAATGAATTTGTTCAGAGAAACGCGGCGAGCTTATCCTGACAGAAAGAGATTGGAGAAACAGTGTCTAAGTGCTATTGTCTTTGTACGTACTGAGGCAGATTTATTGCAGTGCCCTGTTTGGGTGCTCATTGTCAATGTTGTTGGATTGGATATGCTTAAGTCAAAGTTGCCACCAAGTAAGAATTATAAATGAAAAGTCATGAAGATGATTTTTGGAATTGTGCAGTATTGATGGAATTTTTTAAAATAGTTTTAGCTCTTCAGAGGCCCGTTGATATTAAAAACCGCCCGAGAATTCCAATCCCAGACGAAGACCCCTATAGCGTTGCGGGAGTGTCATCGTCTTCCGGTCCCAGTGACGGCAGGGACATGGGCAGAGATCCAAGACAGGAATCGATTTATGGACAATCATCAAGTTACCATCAACGTCGGGCGGAAAGACCACCGAAACTTCCGCCAAGGGAAAACCTTTATGGCCATGGCATTCCTAAGGTAGTCATAAAGCATAAATGTCAATGTGACTCATTAATCGTTATTGCCGATATTTTTTCATGGCGATTTGATGCGCAATTTCTCACAAATTGACAAAAAAAGACATGAAAATTGAGAAGATATCAGCAAAAACTCCTCAGTCAAACAGATTGTCTTTCGTCCAATGGATTATTGCTATAATCCCACTAATTGGTTTCATCCGTTGTTCCCACGTTTTTCTTCCGTTATGCTTATTAATTACCCGAGTACTCTGACTAGTATAAAAAAAAATCGAGTAAAACCGTGGAAAATCAGGCATGAAATAATCTAGGGAACCGTTTCAATAATTCCGACAGGCAATTCACGGGCATTAATCCATGAAGTTGACGTTATGCCTTGAAATTGATGAGTTTTAATTGTTCTGCTATTAATGTTCAGCCTGATTACGACGATATCGACGATGACTACGGCACAAGCAACGATCGGCCTGCGGTCCTAGCTGTCGATGAGAAAAAAAGTAAAAAGAATGACAGTAAAAAGTACGATGACCCTTATTACTGTGGATTGCGTGCGCGCGTACCAAATTTCGTGAAGATGGCGAAAAACAGTCAACATCAACCGAAGATGCATCCACCGTATGGACACGTAAGACCGTCATACGCAGCTCCAACAGGATATCCTAGTAGTCAATCGTCACAAATTTATGCAAGTCATGCACCGAGTAAAAGACCCCCCATAATGTACCACGCTAGAAGCTTTGAGAGTGGATTAGGTGAGTATCTCCTTCATGATGGAAGAAAATCTGTCATTCCTGCCCCAATAGTACACTTTAAAAATTAAAAACATTCATCATACTTTACGATTTTTTAAATAAGGAAACAATACAATGTTTTCTTGTGTCAAGGAAATATTCTTTGTTGGAAGTTGCCTTTTTTTTTTCTCTCTGAATATTTTCTTCATATAATTATGCCGATGACGATCAAAGGAACCGTTTTCATTGCAGACTCCGATGATCGAATAGATTCACCGTACAACCATATTTATGGAAGATTACCAATGCCCACGAGAGGCGTCATACCGCCCACACCGCGTGCTATGTACATCGGAGAATGGGATTAACAATTGACACGTTTAATCTCCTATTTTGTATGTACCTATCCTGTATATTGTTAATATACCACATAAATACTCATATTTTTTATGACACCTTAATTGACTCTGTTTATTCCTGGTGCTCCTCTTTATCCAATAAAATGCGTGTGTTCATATGAAACGCACCCACTTTGTCGCGTATCTGCCCGGAGATAATCACGTTCGTATCTATTTCAATGTGAAAAGAGACTCCCGCAGATTTTAAGAACCATAACCGGTGGAATTGATGGTTTGGATATAATATCTATTCATTATATGCGTGCGAAAAATAAGGGCTTGTACCGTCCACAGAACTTGTTCAGTGCTCGTTTATATTTCCATTTAAGAAACCTGAAATGATAAAGTCCAAGTAACACTGCAGCATCGAGTCTTCACATTAGCATAAAAATAAAAAATTTTATAAAAAAACGTCATCCCATCATCATGACGTAATTTTCTTGCAATCAATTTCTGACCAAATGATTAAAAAATAAAAACGACAGATATTTTCTACAGACTAAACAGGAAAGACTGACATATGAACTGCGTCATGTATTGAGACTTATATTTGTGCCTTCACATATCAAATTATCCTTCAATCTCAATTATTCTTTTTTTATATAAAAATTTTACTGTATGTAAAATATTACAGAAAATACGTAGCATGTATTAGTACTTTGTACGGTATGAACTAATTGAAGGAGGAACAAAATACAAAGAGAAATATAATCGTAATACCATCACATGGTGTGATAAGTCGAGGTGACATATGGATGTGATGAAAACTCGGAAATTCCACGTGAGTGGAATGTGTTGTGGATGATTCACTTGAACTATCCTAATTTCCCCTGTTCTTCAAGTCTTTAACTTTATAAATGCGAACGAGCCAATGCTCAGTGGTGTAGGCCTCCTCCAACGTTTCCAACTCAAAATCCTTGTTTCCTATTTCCATATTACGTACTCGGTCGTAACCAGACGGCTTTCCACCTTCAGTGTACACCTGTCCAAATCTGTAATAACACATTTTGTACATGAGGCAGTTGAGGAGAATTGGCGAGCCATCTTTATCGACCCTGAATTCACCGGAGGGATTGTAGTAGTCCCATTCGGTGATGGATTTTCCTTCCTCCGTGCTACCACCAATTCTCACCATCCAGAGAAATTTATTGATATCATCAGATGAATAACCGGTCAATCCACCAAAAATAACAAGGACATAATTAACATCGAGCTCTCTCATGATCTCGTATGCTTTTTCCTCGGAGCTAGCCATTGCCTGTCCCACCCTCGATATATGTGTGTTATTCCAGGTATTATTATCGACGAGAATTGTTCGATTAGCCATTGCAGTTATCTGATAACCATAATCCCACCAGGACATTACTTTCGAGTCCTCGGGTGTATTCATACGTAACCAGTAGTAAGCTTCCCTGAAGTCATCAAATATCATTCTTCCACCGTCAGGTGATCTGGCTGATAGTACTATACTCGGTGAGCTGTATGCCTCAGCAGTTACCCATGTGCAATGAAGTGTATAAGAGAAAAATAGAATGCACATTACAGCTATGAATAACATGGAAATTTCACTCCTGAGGACGTAATTGCTTTCGAATTTCCGGGATTTTTTATCGATCACTTTGCTACTCTCCAATTGCTTCATGTAGGTTAATAATAATGAAGATGCTCCAATTCCTCCTAGAATGCACATCACTGGTGCAAGTACTAACATCAGACGCACCATAACACCAGCGAAGTAGAGACTCGTTACTCCGTACAGAATAAGAAAAATATTTGAGTCCGTGAGTTTGGAGAAGCAGAAGTATAATCCAACTGGAAACAGGAACACCAGGATTTGTAGATCAAAGTAAAAAGAACTCCATGAGGTAGGTTGATGCTCAGAGACTGATGCAATTATTGGAATATGATTTTTAGCGTACGATGGATCGAGTAGTGAGTAAAATCTGCCAGTCCAGGGGGATATTTTTCCAGTGATCGTTAAAATGCCACCCACAATGCACGATACTGTTAACATTGAGGCGATCAGGCCTCGGAACAAGAGGTCAAAATCATTTTCAGATAGTTTACTCCTGAGATAATCGACTAGAGCGTGAATTTGACACAATCCAAAAACTCCGAGGGCAAGCATGTGTTCGGAGCTCTGCACTGGCTGGAATCCAACGAAAGATATTTGCATCGATAGAATGGTACCGATGCAGTAGAGTATACTGTAGGCGGTATAAATTCGGTGTGAAAAACGTCCAGTGACCATCAGCGTGAGAACGTGGAGGGGAATGAGATTGATAAGGAAGACGTATCCACCCCAGGAGGAGACCATGTAAAAATAGGCGAGGGCAGCGCAGGTAGACCAAAAAATAGCACCAGTTTTCACAGCCTTTATCCACATGTAGTAGGTGAAGAGCATGCAGAATATAGCAATACCCTCATTGTCGTATGATCCAGCCACTGATCTCGAGATATATCCGGGGACGATGGCAATCATTGATGCAGCGAACAGACCAGATGCTGAATCTTTCAGTTCTTTTGTCAAATGGTACGTGACTATTGTCGTAAAACTAGAGAATAATGGCGCGAGAAATACGCAAACGTTGCGAATATCTATGGGAATGTTGAGCATCTGGAGTAATCGGTAAATCGTTGCTGATGTTATCATCAATCCTGGGTAGATCGTACCTGGAATTTTACCACAGGAAAATTCGAAGATCAGAAGATTAAAAGATATTTTAATATTTCATCAGTGAAAATAAAAATTTTCAGGCTCACCTCCTATTATTCTACCCAGTGGATACCACACTCTGTCATCGAACCAATTGTGAAAGGCATAAAAACCCTCTTCAGCCAGGAACTTTGTGGTTCTATAATTGAAGTAAGGATC